AAGTTTATGGAAGGTGAAAAATGAGACTGACCAGAAAATAATTAAAATAGCATAGACTAAAGGTGCTAAAAGCATGAGAAGAAGGTTTCAGTTCCATGTGGAACACAGGAATTGCTGACTAGTGAAAGAAAAAGGTTCATCTAGTTGACTTTCCATTATTTGGTAGTTGCACCATACAGCAGTAATGGCATTGTTGAATGAAATTGATATCATTAGTCAGTGTGTCTACACCGGAACAAATTAGTGAACTGATAAAGAGCTAGGGGAAGATTGTGCAATGAGACTTTCTTTTGGGTAGGATAAGGGTTTGTAAGCTCAATTTGAGATTGTACAGGAAGCTGAGGTTAGGATCAACTTGGTCCGTTAGTGATTAAATCAGAGAAGAGGGAGAGGTCCTGGCGTGGGTTATTTGGGTGAATGCATAGAGAATTGCGGGGTATGCAGTTGCATTTAAAACTTTATTGATCCTTCAAGTAATGTAATTTAAATAGCTGTAGTCATAATCCACAAAATATTGAGGCTGCAGATCTGCAACTGGTGCTACAGTCAAGTCACACCCCCTCATTTACATTTGCTGTGTCTATTTGAATAGTACTGTTATGACAGAGGCTGGATTCCCACCTTGGATTGCAACATAAAATAAAAATACTTGTTACGGATACCAAAATGAGCCATTAAATACCTTGTCTGTTCAGGCTTTAAGCAAAAGATTGATAGACCAGATTTGTTAATAAACACGGTCACTGGTTTGTGATCAAAACAAAAGCTTTTAATAAAAATGCAATAATTCGTTAACATAGTGGTACAGAAATACAAATAGTTATTTCTATAGATAGCCATGAAAAATATATACATGCATAAAAATTGCTTTCTTTGCACAAATTGTCTTTCTGACCCAAAAAAACACACTTTGGTTAATGAGTTATTGAAGGCAAAAGGATAAAGCATAGAATGTTCCAGATTCTGTTGCTCTGATATTTTGGCATGTGTGGTGAAGTCACAAGCATTTGTGTTGTCTAAGTTATGCAGACAGAATTTGCTCAGGAAATGTAATTGTAATCTTCCAATCAGATATCGAGAGTTCTGATTTCTAGAAAGCCTTTTTCAAAAAAGGTCTCCAGTGTACACAGTGAATTTTCTTAGAATGGTTTCTTTTAAGGAGGTCATTTAAAGTAGGTCCACAAATCTTAAAATAATTTTTTTCCACAGTCCCTTAAAAACCTGTCCGCTGAGCAATGTTAACTATAAAGCAACCTCATAACAATACCCATTTTCTGTTCAGAGTGGAGATGCCACTTGTGGGTCTAATGTAACTAACTTAATTTGTGTGGTGGTTCTTTCTCAGAATTTATTTTCTCAATTGTTTTTGTAAAAGGATTGTCATTGCCCTATTTTAACATCTCTAAGTGGAATGGGAGTGAACTGCAGGATCTTTCTTTCAGAGGCAGCTCTTTGATTTGGTTAAAATAGTTATGGAAGTATTTATCACTGAAATTGCATAAAACTAAGGCATCTTGGACAATTTTGAGGAAAATTGGCATCTATCTTTTGTGCGTTTTCAGATTGCATTGAAATTGAGTTTCAACATTCTGGTGAAGTTATCTAGTTGGAGCTCAGTGCAGTCACTTTTTTTTATGCCAATGCTGCAACACCCAATCTAAATGACCACCTAGTAATATTGTTGGTTGGAGTTCCTTCACACAAAGATAGTATCGCTAATTATTATGATAACTCTGGTAGTGCCAAAAACAGGAAATCCTGTTTATGCTTGAAATTAACTGTAATATTTCTTCCCAACAGCCACATGTCAACCCACTGCTTACTTACAGATGTGTGAATCCATTCGCGAAGTAGTGGGTAGCAACAAGCTGGTTAATTGAAAAAACATCAATGTAACCTAACCCCAATTGCTAACTTAGGATTTTGGAGCAAGATGCCCAATCGAAATGGGTTGATTTGTTATATGACTATAATACTTCATTCAAAATGTCTGCAGTCATCACTGTAATTTCCTTTTTGCTATCTGGAGTCATGTGCTGCACTGACGTTGTAGGGCTTTTTAAAGTCTATTACACTGGGAAAGAAGGGAGATAGAGGGTAAAGTAAGTCTGTCTTTTATAGGAGGAATTAATGCGATGAGCCATGTTGGGTCTAACAGTCAAGAAATAGACTGTCTAGACCATTCTCATTAAGGCTTCACATAATCAGCAGTGATAGCTGGGGTTGTCTAAGTTAATTTGGAAGGATGCAGTGTCTTTCATGTTTATTATTGGGATTTCTTTCCACTATCGCACTGAAAAGGAACCGTGATTAAATGATGGTGTCAAAGTTAATGATAAAAACAAAACTTTATTCTGTTGATTGGAGATGGTACTTCTCTTGTCCCCCATGTCTCTGCTGACATAACATTGCTAAGACTTGCTGAGGTTGACCAACTTCATAGTTGCTGTAGGCTGGGTTGCAATCAACATGATTTACTTTTTAGTTTCTTCTTGTTACTGATGGCTATGTTTTTATCAACAGATGGTGGTAGTGATGGACACGCACAAACATGTACTGTAACCACTTATAGCAAGGTGAGGAAATGGCAGTGCAAGTACTGAATTTCATCATTCTTCCCGACCCTAACTCCTGTATGTGCCCTCTGTTAGAAATTTCCATTAGAATGCTCATCCATCTGTCTTGATTCACATAATGGAAGTTAACAACAATCACTTTTTGTTAACAGGAATCCTTATTTTCTGTACATTTCTGCAGACTTGATAAATTGGGAAACAAGTTAATTCTGTATCTAACATAGTGTCAAACTGATACAAGACAGTTTAAGAGCAAATTCTATAGAGGACTGTTGACAAGTGTTTTTCAAGGTTCTGTTTGGGATCCTGCTCCCAAATATTAAACACATTCCCGTCTTTTGCATGTCATTACTACCAGAAATGCTCTCCTTACGAATATGTTTGTGTAAGCATCAGGAATTGTATGTAAGTTGGTCCCCTGATCTGGAAAAAGATGTGATTATATGACAGACAGGAAACTTGTAACAAAGATTGAGAATATCTCCTTTCAGATCCTACAGATCTAAATTTGAAAAGCTATGGATTTGGAACTCAGAAAATGTGAAATAACACTCAGGAGGAGGACACATTTCTTCAAGGCTTTTAGCTTGCACTCATCAGGGCAGTTCACAAGAAGTACCAAAATAAAAGCAAATCCACTAGGGCAATATCACCATCAATCAAGAGTCCACTTGCCAACCAATCAGTACTCTCTCATACGTATAAATGTTGTTTTCTTTTTACTTTGGCATTGTTCTGATGTGTGATAGATGAGAAACTTCAGTGTCTTCTCTCAGTAATACTCCACAGTTTGGCAAGACGGAACTTTTAAGACTTCATTGTAAATGAGGAAAGTGGGCTTCGAAACAAAAACTGAAATTGCTGCAAAGCTCGAGATCTAGCAGCGTCTGTGGACCTTCCTCAGAGCCCTTTATCAGCAGTTTGTTTTGTTTCTGATTTACAGCATCCACAGTTCTTTCAGTTTTTATTAAATTGTGTTTGACACGGCTGTGCTGCAAAGAATGTACCTTTCTTAAGCAATTCAGAAAGGTCAAAAATACAGCTGTGTGGTGATCACATAAGGTCATTTATGTTTTGGAGAAGTTCAAGTTATTACTTTTGAGAGAGGGAGACTGGCATGAGGTACCTTTTTTGGGTTGAAAAGCTACATGGAAATAGCCTTTGGATTTTCAAGTTTCAGTTTCTCTCCGATTAGAGATGGGGCTGTTGAGCTCTGATCTTCAGAAAGCTGACAGGCAAAGTCAGATCTCTCTCTCTTCCTTTTTTTGTCTCGCCTTCCGAGTTGAGAAAGAAACAATACTCAAGACTGATATGAACTTTTAACTCCTGCAAAGATCCAGGTTCAACTGACCAGGTATTGAACTGACAATCTTTTGTTGCTGTGTGGTTGACAACAGGGTGACTATCATCATTTAAAACAAAGGAATTGAGAGAGTCCCTTCAGTCCACTCTTGTGACTTGGACTCTTGATCCACTGAATTTGTTCCTCCTTTGCCTCTATTTTCCACGAGTGAATTTCTGCAGAGCTGTCAGCCGTGTTTTGTCTTCATTGTGAAAGAATGTGTGCATGTTTGGATTTCGAGGCAATATAGTTTTAAGTTTGCTTAGGAGTTGATCCATTTTGCCACTTGTTGAATAAGTTTTTTTAGTTTTGCTTACTGATGAATCCTGGCGAGTTTCTACTGTCTTAGATAGCAGTTAACCAGGCGAATTAATTATCTTGATGACTCATTTGGTCAATTACTGCCTTGTATTTGTAGTGGCTCATAGAATAGTGGGACATTGTTACCCATGCACTTCTCCCATCCGAGTCAGGACAAAATGACTACTCGTGAAAAAGTGACCTTGTCTCTTCGAAAACTTCACTTTGGATTTAAGAGCTACATTTTCCCATTATTTCCTCGTACTGAGAGTTGTAGTCTGTCAGTGTCTTTGTTTCTGTCTTGGGCCGTTTTCAACAAAATGAAACAGTCCTCCAGCTATACTTACTTTGCTATATTGTACACAGACTAGATGTGAGGCAATTGTTGTGAAGGAAGGAGAGGTGTATTTGGACTTAGTGGCTGGATTTCAGTTGCTGCATTGTGAAGCTCAATAGATGAGGCTCATTTGGTTTTGTTACTTTTGTTGCTCCAGCCCCTCCGGACCAACTTTGATTTCCGAAAATAAATGCAGTGTGGATTTAATGTGAGGCTTTTTGAACGAGCTTACTCAACCTCTGATCACTAACACTGGCCAAGAGAAAGATTGAGTTGTACTAATTGAGAATGAAAGTATAACCTTTGCTTTGCCAAGCCCAGACTTAATGAAGTTGTGATGCTGCTTTAATTAACTCTTCAAGTAATTAATAATCTACCAATGTATCAGTAAAATATTGATCTTTCTATTTCAGTGGGATGCAATTCAGGAATTGCTTGGACACCCCATGGAGAAGCCAGTGGTTCTTCACAGGTAGTACATGAGCATATGAACATATTCTGTAACAATAAGAAGATGGGGCCAGAGTCTGAGAAATAACAGGCAACTTGAGAACTGAGGAAATGCTTAAAATTATTACTTAATAGTAAGCCTGACTGCCTGTCTCTGCTATTTTTCATTTGGTGCATATGTATGTAGGGTCACAAGTGTAGCTTAAAATCAGGTATTATGTGTGATCATATGAATTATCAGCAAGAATAGGCCACTTGGCATCTTGACACTGTTCCACCATTCAACAAGCTCATGAGCTGGTTACTCAACATTCCTGCCTTGCCCTGAAAAGCTCTCACCCTTTGCTTGTCAAATCTAATCATCTTCAAATATTCAAGGACTCTGCTTCCACTTCTTTTTCAGAAAGGGAGTCCCAAAGACTCAATACGGTCCTTATCGTCTTTAATAGATAGCTCCTTATTTGTAAACAGTCAGCACTAGCTCTAGATCTTCTCTCGAGGAAACACCCTTTCCATGTCTACCATATCAAGACCTCTTGGCATCTTCTGTCTTTTCAAGTAATCTCTTACACCTCCAAACTCCAGTAGATACCAGCCAGGTCTGTCTAATGTTTTCCCTGTCAAACCTCTTCCTGATAAGACAACCCACCCATTCCAGGTATCAGTCCAGTAAATAGTCTCTAACTGCTTACAGCACATTGACATCCTTCCTTGCCTAAAAACAATCCTGTACACCGTACTGTAGAGGGAATCACCCTTTATAATTGAAGCATCACCCGCTACTCTTGTATTTAATTCCATCAGCTTTCCTCATTTCTTGCTGAATTTGCATGCTAACCTTTCATAGACTACGACGCTAGGATTTCTCTGCATCTCAGAACGTTGTAATCTCTTATCATTTAGATTAAAATGCTTTTTACTCATTCTGCCAAAGTGGACAATTTCACAAATTTCCACACTAATTGCATTTGCCAAATCTTTGCCCACTCGCTTGACCAATCTATAGTCCTGTACACAACTTACATTTTTATGTATATTCATCAGCAAATTTAGTAACCATATCTTTTTAGTCCCTTTATCCAAGTAATTTATATAAATTGTGAAAACTTGATGTCCCAGCGCTCACCTATGTGACACACAACTTGTCAACCAGAAAGTGACCCTTTCAAACTTTGTTTCTGGTTGGCATAGATAAAAATTGTCTAACTCATGTTATCATCTCCACCACATGCTTTTATTTTCTGCAATAACCTTCATGTGGCAATTTCTGAAATGGCTTCTGGAAATCGGACTTCAGCAGAAGTGTTGGTTCCCCTTTATTAACATCATATGTTGACTCCATCTGGTTCCCTTGAAGTTTTGAAAGTGCCTAACCAAAATGTCTGCCTTAGCCTCTGTAGCTTCCCTATGACAAATGTTGAGCTATAAGTTCTATAATTTCCTGCTTTGTCTCCCTCCTTTATTAACTGAAGGAATTACATCAGCTACTTTCCAATCTAAAGGAACTTCTCCAAATTGAGGGAATTTTAAAAAATTAAAACCAATGCATCAACTATATCTCACTAGGCATTACTTTGCAAATGTCCAGGATGAAGTTTGTCAGGTCCTGCGGACCAGTCAGCTCTCCGCTCTGACAATTTGCTCAGTATGACTTTGCTGATTAGTAAGTTCAGTACCTCTCTCCCTGCTAATTTCTGGGATGTTGATTGTAACCTCTATATATTGAAGATTGAAAGTTGTTCAATTCGTCTGCCATCCCCTCACTTTCCTTATTAATTCCCCAGACACTCGTTCTATAAAACTAACTCTGTCTTGCTTTGTTAACACTACTTGTAAATATCTATTATTGGAACATAGGAATGTTACAGCGCAGAAAGAAGCTATTCAATTAATTGTCTGCTCTGGTTAAATTAGTTAGCCACTCATTCCAATCCCATTTTCCAGCAACTCATCCATGACCTTGCATGTTACAGCACTTCAGATGCAGATCTAAGTAACTTTTTTAAACTGAGTTGAGGGTTTCTGCCTCAACAGCAAACTGTGCAGTGAACTCCTTGTGTTCCCTTAATCTTTCTACCAATCACCTTAAATCTGTGTCACTGGATAATTGACCACCTTACCTGGGGAACAGGGTCTTCCCTGTCCGTGTGGTCTGGGCTCCCCCATTATTTTACACACCTCCATTAAGTCACCACTCAGCCTCAGGGAAAACAGCCCTAGCTTAACCAATCTTTCTTCAGACCTACAATTTTCAAGCTCTGGCAACATTTTTGCAAATCTCATCTGTAGTTCATTCAAGTGATTATAGGTATTGTAAACATTCTGTTCAAATGTTTTATGACCCCTCGGGGGTGAAAAAGTAGGACATGCACCCAGACTTTTAGACAGGGGCACTACCTCTGCCACAAGAGCCCCCTTGAGTATTTGTATCCTTCCTGTAATGTGATGACCATAATAGTACACAAAGTTCCAGTTGTGGCCTAACCAGTGTCTTGTATAGTTCGACCAAAATTCAATTAAAATAGTAAGACATGCTCTTCTTTTACAAAACCATGTCGACTATCCCTGATTAATGTGCCTCTCTCAGCAGCTAATCCATCTTCCAAGATTCATTCCAGTAATTTGCTGCCAACCTTGGTTAGACCGATTTGACCTATGATTATTTGACCTGCTCTCTGTACCTCTTTTAAAAACGTTACAACATTTGCTAACCTCAGGTCTTCTGATACCTTACTTGTATCTAATGAGGATTATAAAATGATCCTTAGAGTATCTGTTATTTCCTCCCTAGATTCCTTTTAACAGCCTAGGTTACAATTCATTCAGCCCCGGCGCCCTCGAGGAAATCATTCCCTCCGGTGCTTCCCTTTTCATTAAACTATTCAATAAAATAAGAATATACTCTTTAAATAGAATGTCTGTCTGCATATTCCCTCTGAAGTCAGACAAAATACCCGTTTAGATCCTTGCCCATAACTTGTGCATGGATATAGAAGACATCTAATGACCCAACGCTTTCTTAATGCACTGATAATGCATCTTTGGATTTTCCTTAGTCACTGCCAATTTTGTTGTATCCTCTCTTTAGTTTCCTAATTTCTTTTTCGCTTTAACCTTCCTAAAATATTACCTTTGTGAGATTGTGATAATCTCTATTTTTTTTTTTGCTTGCCCTTCATGTCTGTGAATAATCTGGGATTTCTAGATTTTGCAGTTATCACCCTTTTCACTTTGTGTGCACATCTGCACCGTCTCACGTGGAATTGTGACTTTTGAATACTTCCCACTACTGTAGCTGTAACCAGTCCACCTTTTTGCCAGCTTTGTAAAGTTTGACTTCTCCTAGATTTTAGATCTCTTACTCCTGTTCTAACTTTGTTTCTTTCCATAATGATGCTGAATCTAACTATTTATTTATAATCGATACATTTAAGCTAGCTTTCTCTGCGGTCTGTTGTTTCTGTGCATATTAATGTTTCAGGCATTCTTTACTTTTTACATTCTGTATTGCACATTGGTGCTGTAAACTGGTCTTATCCTGATTTTTCTTAAATTCAAATCATTTTCCAATCAGTCTAGTGTGCTGTGGATAATTACTTTGCTAAAGCAAAGGTGCGTGAAACGTAGATGGGGAAATGAGCAATCAGAATCCAACAGTTAACATTCCTGGGCAGAGTGGAGTTCTATGCTGGATAGTGGTCATTGAGTTAAAATTAATTTAACCTTTTTTTTTGCTGATGTAGATCCTCTTCAGCAAACAACACAAACCCTTTCGGCTCAACTTTCTGCTTTGGATTGCAGCGCATGATCTTTGAGGTATGATTGATCTCTGCTTCCCTGGGTTCTCGGATGGAAACCAGACCTGTTTTTCTTGCCTGTGACCTTCAGAGGGGTGTGGCTGTTGTCAGGCTGGATGAGGCTTAACCATAATATTCCTTACAGGTAGATAACTACCATCAAACCTTAACAATAGTCACTAAATCACATAGTACGAGGGCAACCAACATATAAAACCGTATGTTCAGGCCGTAGGAAACATAAATAGCAAGGGTAACATGGTATGTGTGTATGTATATCTCCATAAGCACAGGTGTGCACATATAGATTTGTCTCCCATATGTGTGCGTGCATTATTTGTGTGTATATAAATATATTTTTAGTATTTGAGGTCATTGTGTTCCTGTGCTTTTTATTTGCAGGTCATGCAGAACAATCACATAGCGTCAGTAACGCTTTACGGTCCTCCCAGGCCCAGCAGCCAATCTCAAACCACGGAACTAACACAATGAGCCTCAGTCTCATTTGAACCAACCAGGACTCTACCAGTTTAGTACAGTGTGCCTTGATTTGCTGCCACAATTGTACAGAACAGCATGATCCAGTCAACACTGCATCCCTGGCCTCATCTGGATTGAGGAGGGGGTGGGTTTCTGGTTTGTTAATGGCCTCATCACTGCTGATGGTCCCTGCCGATGAGGTGTGCAACTCTATGCTTGCATTAAGCCAGTTTCTGTCCTCAATTGTACAGTGCAGATCAGCTGGGTCCTGCCTTGCCTTGAGTCTTTAGAAGTTGAGGAAGCAGGCAGTGGAGCTGCAGATTCAAGAAGCACAAGTTGTACAAGCCTTGAATGGGCAGTGTTTCAGGTTTCTGTTTAGTAGGTGTTCCTGTAGTGTTGTGGTACTCCATACACTCATTTCTGTCCCAGCACAATATGCAAAGACAGAAGTTTGTCCACGTGTTCAGGCACAGCCTATCTCTGTAGCTTAGACAGTAGCACGTTTTTATAGAAATGGTTACATCATTTGCACTACATACACTTTAATTACTTGATTAATCGTGTTTTATCCACTGAGGAGTGTCAGGGTATAGTGCCAGCTAATTGGGTGAGACTGGGGTGTGGAGAGGAGTCCAGTCCATGCACACAGCCGGTCCCGCTGCTCGGTGGGGGTTTGAAGGGGGAGTGATGATTTATTCACTTCATCGCACTATATTGGGTTGAAATGCAATCCTCTGCCATGTCTTGAATTGCATGTTGTTAATTTGATGCCAAAGACATATCTTCAATGTGCTTACTTTCCTCATCTGTGCTATTTCCCATGACAGAACTGCACATCCCAAGATCGTCATTGGTCATTAGCAGGTTTTAGTCAGTCAGCAGCAGAAATTGTACACTGTACACAAGCAGAGTTGAAACTCTGCTCTTCGCAGTATTCACAAGAGGTTTGTTCATTCATAGGAAGATGTGAAGCTACTTGGACTGTTCCCTCGTCAAAATATTGAGAGCTTAGTGCTTTTCTTTTTTAATTAAAACTCTTAGCTATCACTCATTTTTACATTGTACATTGTAGCAACTTGTAATTAATAGACAAATTTTGTGTGTTTACACTGTGTGTATAAATCTGTAAATAATGCATTTTGTAATTTTAACAATGTACAGGGAGTGCCTGTATAGTTTAATGGTGAACAATGAGAAGGATGTATTTTGAATTGTAATCAATGTTTTGACTCTGGACCAGTAGCAAGGACATGTGATGTGTGTTATGGTGAAACTTTGCGTTCTGTCTTCCTGTAAACTGTGAGATTGCAAACTGTTGTATCCAACACACGTGGATGTTGTTTAAAGACTATGTTACAGTTTACTTTGAAGCTGAAAGCTGTTCTCTTGTAGCTGTTGATCCTTAACTAAACCTGCTTAGTTTAGTGTTTTTTCCTGTGCTCCTTGCTTACCATGGGAACTATTTGCCTCTTCATTCATTTTTCGTTCTGCACAGTCCTCTGACTTTTATTTAAAAAAAAAAGAAAAAGGAAAAAAAAAATGCACATTAAGAGCATGTATTCTGCCTCGCAAATAAAACTGACTCCAGTTCACTGTTTGAGATAATTGGATTTGACTGGTTCTTTTTGGAGTGTGGAGAATGGGTGGAGAGGGTTTCAGCAGTGAGGAATAATCACCCCATTTTCTAGCGGAGCCTGAACACTGGATATCACTTCTTGAGATATGGGCTTACTGTACAAGTTTCTTGCATGGAAATTGCAGTAGATTTGACTTCCTTTGTTTTTAAAAAAAAATGATGGGTTTGGATGGGACTCTCTCAAAATGTCAAGCAGGATCGGGGTGATAATTGAGAAGTTAATGTGAGGCAGGGTATAGTGGCTGAGTTTTGGTATTTACAGAGGCAAGTAGATGGGAGATAAGCCTGGAGAAAATTAGGGTAAATGGGTGGTAGTGGTGAAAAAAGTGTAGCTGTGTATTTTGACAATACTGAAGTGATGTAAGGTTGGATGTCATCTTGGTGACTGACATGAAATTTAAAGCTCGGTCCTGGGAAAAGCAGGATGACCAGATTTCGTATAACTTGACACAACCTGAGTGAAGGCTGGAATGGGGATTGGCATTTGATAGGGTGCTGAAAAACAATGGCACAAATCTAATGGGGAGAACTTTAGCCTATTCATAACCTCTGGTAAGGTTGCTTCACTAGCTCTAAGTTAACAATAGCAGTAGTGTAGAATGGAGTTTCTATGGTGTACGCACGTAAAGAAGCTAACATCTTACCTTTAAGTTGTCAGCAAGATCTAGTAAAAGATGAAAACTGAATGGTCAAAACTACAGATGCATGTGGAGATTAGGGGGTGTCAATGGAGCTGGTGAAGGAAGCATGTAGATATAAAGTGTATATGTAGAGCAGGGTCAGTGAATCAGTATAAAGGAAGCTTGATTATGGAACAGTGGCTAAAATGCTTAGTGGCGATAATGCACGGACATAGAAGAATACTAGACATTAAAATGAGGTAACTATCCCAATAGCCTGAGGATCAGTCTTGAAGCAGAAGTTGAACTTTGAGGTTCACTGCTCTATATACTTCTACATGCTTCCTTTGCCAGCTCCATTTCACTGCCTCAGTGGCCACATGCATTTGTAACCTACTTATGCCTCTCTTGACAGTAGGAGGAAAAGTCAATCTTGATTGAGCTCATGACCTCCTCTTGTTTTTCACTTTGTATTTTTAGCCAGCATGTAACAAGTCCAGAGAGAGGGGGTAGGATTCTATATGCGGTCTTAGAAAATGAAGCCAGCAAATTGAATTTGCAGTACATGACCATTTTGGGGCTTGGTGATCATAATACAGTTAAAGCTAGCATTATTATGGAAAGAGACAAAGAACAGGAGTAAAAGTTCTAAATTAGGGGTGGATAAGTGTTTTGAAGCTTAGGGGGTGATCTGGCACATGCAGACTAGATACAGCTACTTGAAGGAAAATTGGTGACATACCATTGGGAGGTGGTCAAAAGCAAGGTTCTATAAGCACATTGTAGACATGTACCCACAAAGAACAAGAGTGGCACTGCCAAATTCAGAGCCTCCTGATTATCCAGAAGCATTCAGGATTTTAGAAAAAAGTGGGGGGAAATAAAGCCTATGATGGTGACAGAACAAAAGTGTTGTAGAGAGCCTAGAATGACATAGAAAGTACAGGTTGGGTGATATTCAAGGGAGATTTGGGAAAATAGAGGATATGACCATATTGGCAGGTAAAATCAGAGTGTCCAAAGATGCTGTTTCAATACGTCTTAAGATCAGGAATAAAAATAAGTAGGGCCCACCAGTGATTTACAATGTGCAAGATATGGGCAGGATTTTTAATGACTACATTGTCTCTGGCTACACAAAGGAGAGGGCTGATGCAGACTTTCTTGTGAAAGACCATTGTTAAATATTAGATACACAGCTGCACTTTTTTTCACGTCTACCATCTATTTACCCTAATTTTCTCCAAGCTGATCTCCATATTAGACAGGGAGGTACTGATATCCTTGAAGCTGGATAAATAATCAGGATTGGATGCATTGTATCCCAGGCTATTAACAGAAAGGAGGAAATAAGATATGTTGAAGATCATTTTTCAATTCTCACTAGGTGGAGGTGAGGTACCAGAGGATTAGAGGTCTGTGAATGTTGTACCATTGTTTTAAAATGGTGTAAGGAATAGGCCATATGAACATAGACAACCATCATACAAGTTAGATGCAGGAGTAGCCATTTGGCTCCTCGAGCCTGCTCCACTGTTTAAGAACTGGGCTGATCTGATTATAACCTCCACTACACATTCTCCCCTCCACCCTACAACCTTTTATCTCCTTGCTCACCAAGAATCAATCTAGCTCTGCATTAAAGACATTTGAAGACTTGATTTGCATTGCTTTTTGAGGATGAGAATTCCAAAGGTGTTCGAGCCTCTCAGAGAAAATGTTTATTTTCTGTCTTAAATGGCTGATCTCCTTATTTTTATATTATGACCCTTAGTTCTAGATTATCCCAGAAGAGGAAACAATTACACCAAATAATTAGACTGGTATGTCTGACTTCAGTAGTGTGCAAGATTCTGAGATATAGGGGAAACTGCTACTTAGCAAGCTATGGATTAATCAGGGAAGTTGACACTGTTTACTCAGGAAATGTCATGTTTAACTAAATTACATTTTATGAAGGATAGTGTTGTGGATATTATCTATATGGATTTTATGAGATGGACCCACATGGCACTGGGGTCAGAAATGTGAAAATCAATGGGATACAAAAGAATGTGGCGAGTTGAATCTATAATTAGCTCATTACTAAAAAGAAACGCCACAGGGTAATGCTGAAGAATGATTTTGCAAATGTAAAGTGGTTTTTCAGTGGTCTTCCGAGGGGCTGCAAATCGCAGGGGGTCAGGCAGCATTTGTGGAGAGAGAGCAAGCTAACTTTTCAAGTCTATGACTCTGAAAGTCATAGACTCAACATTGGCTTGCTCTCTCTCCACAGATGCTGCCTGACCTGCTGTGATTTCCAGCATTTTTTTGTTTTCAGTACAGATTCCAGTATCTGCAGTAATTTGCCCCTACATTGTTTTCAAAAGGATTCTGGGTTTTCATTTGTTGTGTTTAATGATTTAGACTTAAATGTGGGAAGCATGATTGGGAAATCAGTAAATGACCGAAAAATTGGCCATGTAGTTGATTGTGAAGATACAGCATGGAAACAGACCTTTTGGTCCAAATTGCCCCTCGTGTCTTTTTTTTTAAGTCTTTCTCCTCTCACCTTAAAAATATGCCCTCTAGTCTTGAAGTCCCCCACCCTAGGGAAAAGACACCTGTCATTCACCTTATCTATGCCGCTCATGATTTTATAAAGCTCTATAAGATCATCCCACAATCTCCTGTGCTCCAGTGGAAAAAAAATTCCCTGCCTATCCAGCTTCTCCTTATAACCTAAACCCTCTATTTCCAGCAACATCCTGGTAAATCTCTTTTCAACCCACTCTAGCTTAATAATATCCTTCCTATAGCAGGGCGACCAGTCTCCAGAAGAGGCCTCACCAATGTCCTGTACTGCCTCAATGTGACATTCCAACTCCCATACTCAAAGGTCTAAGCAATGAAGGCAAGTGTGCTAAATGAATAATAATAAATAATAAACTATGAAATTAGCTGTCAACTCCAGAATGATAGCGATTGATTGGATGAATAGGCAGAAAGGTGGTAAATGGAATTCAATCTGAATAAGTGGAAGGCAATGCATTTCAATAGACAGAAAAAGCTAGGGATGTACAATAAATGTAAGGATATTGAGAGAAGGGATGGATGTGGCCCTTGGAGTCCATGCCAACTGGTTCTTGAAGATGACAGTACAGGTAGGTAAAGCGGTAAAGAAAACATATGAAATGTTTTCCTTAATTGGCCCACAAAAGCAGAAGTACAGTGCTAAAGCTATTTAGGACACTAGTTAGACTACAGCTAGAGTCGTATATGTTTCTGATCACTGCATATCAGGAAATACATAATTGCCCTGGAGAGAGTCCACCAAAGATTTAGAAGAATGTTTTCAGGATTGGAAACGGGTATAAGAAAAGATTGGATAGTGTAGTGTTCTCTTTAGAAGAGAGGAGGCTGTGATTTAGTTGCATAAATTCTATAAAATAATGAAGGACTGGATAGACCAGACCAGGCAGATATATTTCCCTGAGCGGAGAGGTCATTTACCAAGGGAGACTCATTTAAGGTGATCAGTACAAGGATTATAAGGGACAGAAAGTAAACTTTTTCTTTACAAAATCAGTATTGAAGTCTGAGGCACATTGATCTTATTGAATGGCCTCCTGCTGCTATTTTTTATGTTCGTCTCGGGGTTGGAGGGGGTGGAGTCTGGAATTCACTGCTGGTTTGATGTTGGAGGCCAAAGCCCTCCACCTGTTTAGAAGGAACTTGGATCTGTACCTGAAGTGCTATAACCTGCAAGGCTATGGACCAGGTGTTGGAAATTGTGATCAGAGCAGGCTAGCTTTTTTTTTCCTCAGCCGGTACCGACATGACTGATTATATGATCTCTCTATGCTGTAACTTTTGTATAATTCTGTGGTACCGGCTTTACAGCCTGTTACATTTGAATTCTGCCAGTTCTGACCAAGGATCATCAACACCTAACTCCTTCTGTTCTCTGATTTTACTTTACCTATGTATTTTCAGCATTTCAGTCAAGCACAAACCAAATGGAAAATGATTGACTCAAACAGGATCAGACATTGAAACAGATTCTGGCCATTCATTCATTGCAATCTTGTTCTGTGAGAATGGACCGTCTATATTACAATGTTTGCACTTCAAATTGATGCTTTGTTTATGAATTAATTTGAGGCATCATAAATACAAATCCTTCCTAACAAAGAGATATTTAGCCTTTTTTGACTGTTCTAGATATTAGCAAATGAAATAATTCAAGTCATTTGTTGCCCTCCCATATTTTAAAAATTGTGAAATGCAAAATTCCTATGTAACTCCTAATGTCTTATTATGAAATAATTTTTTGTGATTCAGGCTGGCCTCTTAAGTTACTTCAGGCA